GTCTGTCTGTCTGTCTATCTCTCTCTCTCTCTGTCTGTCTGTCTACTACTCTGACTGTCGTTCTATCTCTCTCTCTGTCTGTCTGTCTGTCTGTCTCTCTCTCTCTCTCTCTGTCTGTCTGTCTGTCTGTCTGTCTATCTATCTATCTATCTATCTATCTATCTATCTATCTATCGGACTGACCTGTTCAGTATCAACGTAATCTGGGTTTTTAACATTTACTGCGTCTGACCTTTAATCCTGACGTTTCTTTCTTTCTCTGCTCGGTCTTTGTTGTTATCAATAATTCAGCTGATCTTTAAACAACCTGTTATGATGTGAATTTGCTCCAGTTTTAGTGTATATGTCACCTTTCAGTCTACTGAAGAGCTTTGTGGCTGATTAAATTCTATTCCATCTGTGAACAATATTTTTTAACTTAAAATAAAAAAACAGAAAAAAATGACATATGCAAAAATAATAACAATAATTAAAATTCATTATAATTATGTAATTATAAAATAAAAATTTTAATAAATTATGTACTGTAAATAATTAAATAATATATATTATTTTTTTTAGAATAAAGGAGATAAATATAAAATATTCAAATAACAACAACAACAACAACAACAACAATAATAGCTTCTTTATTTGATTTTATAATTATTATTACCGTATTGGCCCGAATATAAGACGACCCTGATTATAAGACGACCCCCCTTTTTCCAGATGTACCTTTTGGAAAAAGGCTTTTTAAAAACCAAATCTTGTTTTTTCTCAGTAAAACACATTTTGTCTTCAATTATTTTCATATTGCATATTTTTCCTATTTAAATTTTTGTTTTGAAAGTATGGTAAAAACTGGTAAAATAATAACATTTCTTATTTTTCTTATAAAAATATTAAAGATCTTTCTTGACATGTCTATAAAGAATAAAAGTTATAAATTCTATAATCAATCTAACTCTACACTCTTAAAAATAAAGGTGCTTAAAAGGATCTTCACAGCGATGCCATAGAAGAACCATTTTGGTTCCACAAAGAACCATTCAGTCAA